CATTTCGGGTTTGAACATGACGCATCAGGAGCGGTGGAAGCTGGCAGCCCTTCCCCTCCCTCCAGCCTTTCGGTAGCAGGTATTAATATTGTATTAAATGTTATGAGAAAGTAAGGGCTGCGGAGAGAGGAATGTGCTCAGATGCAATTTTGTCAAGGTTTTTATCTGTGATTATGATTCCAGATGTAGAAACTCCCGGGGGAGGGAAGTGAGGGGCTGCTGGCGTGTGACATGTGTTTTAAGGTGTTTGGCAGTGTTTCTCAAAGTGGTGACAAAATGTTCAATTTTATTACAGGGAATTGGTAAAAGAAATATGAATACTGGGTCAGGGATTGTTCACCTCAGCATAAGGGTTGGCCATTATTGATCAGGGTGGGGAAAGTTTGTACCGAGCCTTGCTTAAATCACATTGTCAACAATGTAAATCTGTCAGCTCAGGTTTTTCTGAAAGAAGACTTGTAACGAAATATCCAACAGCTAACTGTTGTCTACTTCCTAATTTCCAGGAGAAGATGTCAACTACCCTGGAAGCAAAAAAATAAAAATAAAAAAGTAAAGATTGCAAGAAGAATGCCACACCTTTTTTTTCCCAGTGGTATCACTCCAGCCATTCCTTCAGGGTAATTCATTTCACTCTCACCCAGAAAAATGCTCAGTCTGGAAAGGCCATTTTTGCCAAAGTGGCCGTTCTACAAGTCTTTCAGACTGACACACACAACAACAACAACAACACATTTTCTCACAGTGGGAACCACATTTTGCTTACAAAGACAGGGAGATTTTCACAAGAAAAAAGTGGGGACAGAGCTGATGAACTCCAGATGAGCTGACAACTCTTACACCCCCATGCACTTGACAAGGGGCCGTTTTCCTGCTACCCTCTGCCGACAGCAGGACACCCCTAAACTCCATCTCTAAGCACAGGTTTCCTCATAAACCTTTTATGAGGTTCACATACGCTAACAGTAATCCACTCGGTGTCAGGCCCAGCACCGAGTCGATTGGAGGTGGCCCTGGTAAACATTTCCATGGGACAGACAGGGATTTCTGGCTAAAAAGGCCACACTTGACCACTGCCCAGCCCCCATCAGAGCCCTGGGGTCGGTGCCCACTCGCTGGAGGCACTGCCACATGGGTCACCCCCTAGCAGCCCAGTCCTTCCCTAATCCAGGCTACAGAGCATTGGTTTTGGCTTCCCAGGCGCTGGCGTTCTGTTCCCATCTCCAGGCAGACCAGGCTCCTAGCACAAATTGCACCTTCGGTGGAGGTGAGGCGGTTCCTCTCCCAGGAGACGAGCTAAGACGTGGACCTTCTCCCAGGGGGAACAGTGAGGTTGCAGGGGATGGAGAATGCCCAGCATGGCCCCCACCTCCAACACTGCTCTCAGTGAGACCCTTCCCCTAACCCAGCCCAACATTCCACGGGTCCAATTAGCAGTCCCCACTGCTCCGTGGGAAGTTGGCATTGTCTCTTTAAGGTGAGGAGCGAGTCGTCCTCCGCATGGGCTTCATGTGGAAGCCCAGCTCCTCAGCAACACCCCCCTCCCCGCATTTTTATTCCTCCATTAATTAAAACAACTAATGTCCCATCGATGATCTTTGCATGAATGAAAATCATTATGAGCCCTTGCAGGTATATGGGAAATTCTGTTTGCTTAAGTCTCCATACTTTGATTTCCTATAGACTCATTTTCTCAGGCATAAGGAAATTCAGACAAAACAATACAAAACCAAAATCTCCTGCGCCTTTGTAATAAAACACGAAGAGGAGTCGTGGTACACTTGTGACGACCTCTTGCAGGAGAAGCAGGCAGATGACCCTGTTTCGGGGCTGAATTTTACTAGCAGGTGGAGCACTCTAGCCAGTTTAGGCAAACACTGACAGATCTTCAGACTCAGATTTTGAATTTGTGCTCTGTTGAGTCAGATGAGCTCATCCAAATTGACTTTTAAGCTCCCATGTTAGTAAAAAAAAAAAAAAAAAAAAAAAAAAAGTAGGGAGGGACAATCAGTTTTATTTGGAATTTCCCAGCTAGTTGGCCATTTCAGCTTGCATCTCCATTTCTGGGGGTTGCCATAATTAGAGCGATCTATTTTGCATTTACTTCTCTTTGCAAGCACTACATTATTCACTCTTTCCTGTGCTTATTAAACAGTGCCACCTGCACCAAATTCAACAAAGCTCTTCCATCAGTCGGGCCCAGCTAAGGATCCCAGGCCATATATTATCATTAATTGAAGCTCAATTGAATAGTTGACAACAGAGGCATGAGTAAAAGCAACACATTTTCTAGGATGCGTTTATAAAAATGTTTTAAGCAAAAAAAAAAAAATCCCCCAAATTGTCATTTTACAAACTCATTTCATTCTTTCTGCAATACAGTAATTCAAGCAGCAATTAGCAAGTCTTTTAATTAATGAACTATTCCTGTATGTCACCAAGGTGCCCCCAGCACCGACGTCCTCCTTCATAGGTACTAGCAAAATGCAGCCAATATTTTGTCACCCAAAGCCTTCGATGCTGACCACCTCGATGACCCTAGAGTTCTAAAAAGGATTTGAAGAGCCAAAGACAAGACTGAAAAGCAGAGCACCCTTTTCAGGAAAACTAGTCAAGGGGGTGGGAGTGGGGGCGGGGGTATGGTGGGGAGAGAATGGACCAGAGGCGGAGAAGGGAGACGCAGAAAATGGATGGACAAGGACCTCAGTGGTTACAAATGGCACCGAAAGTTTCCAGCAAAGATGGGACCCTGGCTGAGCTTCAGCTCTGTTACAACGGACTCTGTGTCCAGATGCTGATGATTTACACGGCGTTCAAAGCCTCAAACCTCAGTGTGGTTTGTTCTTTTTAAAGCTCCCTGCTTTGTTCAAAATACTGCTTATCTTTGGCATTGTCAACAGCTCTGCATCTGTGAGAGATTAATTAAGTGATAGGTCAGGCAGGATGAGGTGAAAGGGCATGTCTACCCAATGAGGACGGGTTCATCCGTTCCTAGGTGGATCAACTTTTTTGAAGGATGCCAATTTGGGTTCCATTTCCAGAGGAATTTATCAATAGGGACGCCTGAGCTGCTCCAGTGAGGGGCACTTAGCTGGAAAGGATCATTCTGCAGATAGAAAAATCTAAAATCTACATCCTCTGTCTTTTCACGATGAGGAAACAAATCATAACCGTTCATTGTCTGCAGGCTTAAGTTGTACCGAGCTGGGTAAAGGCTGATTTTCTCAAATATGATCCTTTTACAAAATAGCTAATTGGACGATTACAAATAAGATTGCCACACCACACAATGCAAAAATCAAAAGTTTGCCTTCTCTGTCTCCACTGGCTGTTTCTTATTGCCTCTTCCTTTCTAGTCCACTGTTAATTTCTAGAAGGCAAAATGAGAGAATGAGATAGAAAGGGAGTCAGGGAGGAGGATAGAGAAATTGAAAAAGAGAGGTTTTCTAGGCACCAGCGACTGAATTTTTCCAGACCAATTAGAGATTATCTTTAAATCTCCATCTTCTACCCCCTCCACACCTTTCTAAATAGATCTTCAGATTAGTGAGAAATTAGTTAATTGGGAAAGGCCATGTGGCCGCTTCTCCCTGTTCTTAACCAGAAGGGTTTTAAGGACCTTAGACCCCCCCCACTCCCCAAAATGGCCCCCTCCTGGCTCTTCGCTACAGATCGGTCTGCATTAACACTGTGGTTGCAAAATTGTGAGACAGACATAAGTAAACTCCTCGCCTATAAACAGGGCTAGACTCAGGTAAAGTGTTCTCAGCCAGCCTTGGGGAACAAGGAAAACATTTGGAATATTTTTACTCTATTCTTCAGCACTCCTACAAATGAAATTCACATTACCCAAAGCATTGGGGGTAAGGGAGGAGGGTAAACAACCCTTTGTGTGTGTGTGTGTGTGTGTGTGTGTGTGTTTTGGGGGGGGGGGGCTGTTGTAACTGACCAGCCCTGCTTTCTCTTCTCCAAAGAAATGTAGCATGCTAGTTTCTTAACTATCCAATTCTTTAAATCATCTGGGATCTATCTATATTTATAAAACTGAGCAGAAATACTTAACAGCCTGATCAATAGCCATTGACCGTCAGAGCACCTTGCACCCTAACAGGCACAGCTTGATCATGTATATTTGATCATTGAAAAATTCAAAGCACCTTGCAGCAGTGTTATCAAGCTTCCCATGAAACAGTCTGTCTCTTTCTGTGGTCTGAAAAAGAGTGAGAGGTTCTCTCTCCCCTGCCTGCATCCATCTATCCTTCCATCTATTTATCTGAGTACACACACACACACACACACACACCCTTCCCGGAGAATTTACTGCTCCTATATTTGATGAAGAACAAGGTAATTAACTGCGAGGCTGTACATCTGGGCGGCACTTCACATCCATGACAATAATAAAACACTTTTTTCACATTTTAGCAGAAGAAAGGCTAGTCCTACCCACAGATTCAGAGGACCCCAGAGTCTCCGTCTGCAGAGCCTCCTTGTTATAAATCCTGCCTCCCTCTTAAGTGATGGCACGCACAATTGCACCAGGGGCACTAAGTTTATCTGTGCAAAAGCATCACTGGAAAAGCCTGTCCCTTCCCAGAGTTTCAGCATCAGCTGGCGGGGGTAGGGAGGAAACTGAAAGAGAGACAGCTGCCTCCTCCATCCCCAGTCTGCTGGGCTCCAGACTGGGGCAAGGGGCCAAAGGACTTTGTCCCATGAAGGGCCACAGGGAGATGAGGCGTCTGTAGGATCCCAAGGGCTGATATCCTGGCCATGTGCCACCAAATTCTATGGCTCCCCAAAGGGTTGGGTCCTGCAGGTTTTTCCGATATTCTGGGGGTCAAACAGCTGATTCCAAGTTTCTCCCCAAGGTATCCCAGGCCATTCCCAGGGTCTGGCTAGAGAAATACAAGCTGGTAAACCTGCTCCAACCCCTCAGCACGAGTCCTAACAGCCCCAGCCTCAGAGACCACCCCAATCCCCCAGCCAGCAAAACAAGTTACCTGCACACCCTCCCATCTCGTGAGTCTCCTGCTCGGTATTCCAACCGTGCCCAGCACCGATTATCCAGGGGCCCTTCCTTCTACAGGAAGGCTCTCTCCTTTTTAAGGGGGGGGACTTCATATGATAATACGTGTAATATGATATGGAATGACAGAATGCATGACAGTTGCCCATAATACATAGAAGTCAGTCAAAGGACAGAGGGGACATTTGGATAATTACCATCCATTGGCTAGTCAATCACGCGAACAGAGAGAAACTGCACAAAACCCACAATGGAGTTGGGAAACAAAAGAGACCCGAGCCAGACTCAGGATTAACCGGTCTAAAGCGATCTAAATGCTTTTGTATCTGAAGAACTGAGGCTCCCGGGTCGCCCCCACCCCAATCCCAGGGAACTAATTGCGGGGATCAGAGTTAAAGCTCTCTCCCTCCTTTCCCAATTCTCTTTGTAGACTACTGCTCACCAAGCAGAGGGGGAAAAATGATTTCTCTCTCTGTGTTCATTAAACTATTTTAAAGTTAAAGGGATGGGGGAGGGGTGAGATGTGCTCCCCCCACATACCCTCCCGTCCAGAAGCTGAGATTCTTCAGTCTTCCAGGAGGCTCGGACAGTCCGGGTTGGCCTCGATTCTTTGTTTCAGGGTAAAGTCTCCCCTCTTTGCCTCTTGGAAACAAACGCCCCATCCACCTGGGCTGAGGCTGGCAGCACCCCCTTTCCCCCACGGAAGCCGGGCCCCTGCTTTGGGCTGAGGGCGTCGCTGGCCCCTGCACTGGGAACACGCAAGGGCTGGCTCCCAGCTGTCGACCCCGCACACCCAGGGTGAAGTGGGGAACAAGGGCACCAGGGAAGCCGGTCTGGCGTGGGTGAGGATGGCCGCACACCGCGGGCAGGGGAATCTCCTTCTCAATGCGAGGGAGAGGAGGAGAAAGAAGAGCCCTCGGAACTGGGGAGGGGACGAACACGCTGAACTGGGGGTGTCCGGCTGCTGGTGCAGAGAGAGAGGCGAAGAGGGGCTTCGTCCACAGACACGCCGGGAAACGGCGCCCGTGCGCGTCGGCAGGCTCCGAGGGGATGCCTGCCGAGAGGGGAAGGGAATCCCTCACGCCACAAAAGAGAAGGTCTCGGTGATGCGGGCGGCACCTCCAGTCCCCGGACAGGAAGACCGGCAACGACCGCCCTGGCCCAACGCGTCCCTCCCCGCGCGACTCCCACTCGCCGAGGCCCTCCCCGCCCCAGCCGGGCCCTCGCGCGCCCGGGGCCCTGGGGCAGCCGCAGCTCCCGGTCCGGGTCGGGGGGCCGGGCCCGCGCCCCCGTGCAGCCCTCCCTCCAGGCCCCACGGGGCGCGCCGCGGCGCCTTCTTACCTTGCCGAGTCCTCCGCAGCGGGCGTGGCCGGCTCTGCCGGCAGCCCTGGGCCGGGGCCGGGGAGCGGGGGGCGGCGGGGCCGGGCTCGGGGGGAGCGGCAGGGCGAGGGCTTGGGTCGCTGGCACGGTGCCCAGCGGGGGCGACGGGGCAGTTGGCAGCCCCAGGGCCTGCGCGCCCGCCGGGCCGAGCCGAAGGAGACGCGAGGCGTGGGGGACCGGCTGGGGGCGCCGGGGCCGGGGCCCTGGCCGCGGGACGGGGGGCTCCCTCCTGGGGCCCGCGGGGCGCTCCAGCCTGCGGGGCCGGCCGGGAGCCGGGCGGGGTGCGCGCGAGGGAGGACCGGCGCCGGGGAAGCCGGGGACGGGGCGCTCGGAGCCCGGGGGCCGGTTGCTCGTCTCGGTTGATAAATCAATCAGGGCCCGCCGCACCGGGGGAGCTGCCCCCCGGGCTGCCGCGCGCCGCTGCCCGCTGCCCGCTGACGGCCGCCTCGAGTGGGCGCGGGCCGCGCGTCGCGGGCCGGGCTGCGGTCATTCGGCGGCGGCGGCGGCGGCGGGCGCGTGCGGCCGGGGGCGGGGGCGGCCGGGCCGGGCCGGGGCGGGGGCGGCGGCGGCGGCGGTGGCGGCGGAGCGCCGTGGGGGGAGCGGGGAGCGGGGGGCGGCGCCGCGTCCCCGGGCCTCCCGCCCCGCCCCCCGCCGTCCCGAGCCCGCTCGCGCCGCCCCCGCCCTCGGCTCTGTCACTGTCACTCGCCCCGGCGTCCGGTCCCTCGGTCGGTCCCTGCGCGCCTCCTCGGGCCTCTCCGCATCTCCCGTCCCCGTCGCGCCGCTCGGTTCGCCCTCACTGCGCGTCTCCCCGTCTCTCTGCGGCGCTGACTCCGACCCCTCGCGGCTTGCTCGCTCTCACCATTTTCTGCCCCCATCCCCGGCCCTGCCTCCCTCCCCTCGCTCGGGAGCGCTCGCAGTGCCTCCCTCCTTGGATCGGGTTTAAGCCGTTCCGCTGCTCCGAGACCTGGGACAAGTCGCCCCCCCCCCCCCGCCCCCCTCCCAGCCAGCTGCAGTTCTCCTCTCCCTGGAGGAGCTGATGAGCAGCTCCTCGCGGGGTGGCCCCGTGAGCAGCCCTGGCAGGGGGTGCCCCTGGTGAAGTTCACGCACACGCAAAGCAGCCGCACGGTGGGCTCCCGGGGACCTCCGCCTCCAGGTCCAGTGCCAGAGGCCGGGTCAGCAGGGCAGGTCAAGGCGGGTGATTTCCTCAGTGTCCCTAAACCCCTTTCCAGGGTCTTCTCCCCCCCCCCCCGCCCCCGCACATCCCAGAGCCGTCACCTGCTGGGTCCTCCCCCACGACCCAACTGGTGTCCTTAAACCCAAGCCCCATTCCTCCACACTGCTCCCCTGGGCATCCTGGGCTCCCATGGGCAGCCTGGCTGGCTTGGGGCTTCAGAGTTGGACAGGAGTGGGTCCGAGCCCACGTGTCCTGGGGCAAGGCACACCTCTCTAAGCCTCCGTTTCCTCACCTGTGAAATGGGGACACTAGCCCCTTCGAGGATGATGACTGGCCTGCACACCAGGCCCAGCCTGTGGAAGGCTATTGGTTCTGCCCAGCTTGCTTTCCACCGACGAGGAGGAGGCGACTCACAGGCAGGCAGGGTCTCTGTGTTGTGCACCTTGCACTCCAGGTGGGGAGACGGACTGAGCAGCACTGACATGATGACCTTATGACGCTGTATCGGGGCCCCGGGGGAGGGAGTCAAGAGGGTGATGGGAGCAAACGTGCGTGCGGGGAAGCTGACCTGGGCTGGGGCGCAGGAAGGGCTGGATCAAGACACTGAAGCTGAGCTCTCCGCTGAGGATTGCAGGGGACAGGAAGTGGAAGGAGCTCAGGGAGAGGGTGGAGGGCTGAGCGGTGCGGAGGGGCCCTGCAGAGGAGTCTGGGCCTCCATCCAGGGGACTGAGAGACCAGGGGGCAGCTCCCTGACTGGTCCTTTGCCTTTGGCGCTCCTTGGAGGTGGCCGCCTCCTGTCTCCTCTGCTCTGTCCCAGCAGCGTCCACCTCAGAGGGTCAGTGCGTGCCTTGGCATCTGTGCCCCCCGCACCCAAGAGCGCACATGCAGGCTTGGCTGCTCTTAGAGCCCTTCAAGTCGGGCCTACAGGAGGCGCCCTCCGTGCGCACTTGTTGCATTGGGCACCTGCTGTCCTCACAGAGGACTGGGCTTGGGGTGACAGACGCCTCGGAGCACACAGCCCATAGGTGACCCTTCTCAATGAGCCCTGCAAGGCACACGAGGTGTGCGACTGGCAGCTCTTGGAAGGCAGGAGTTTGCTCACCTGGTGCGGTCCTTGGTGTGTCCCAGTGCCTGGGGGACACGCTCCCTAACACGCACTGAGAGGGTAAGAAAGAGCAATGCATTCCAACACAAGAGGAGGAAGAAGGGGAGGTGGATGGAGTGAAGTGAGCTATGAAGATGTGATCAGGCCAGTGCTAAGCATTTGTGCGCAGTCACCTTGACCAACCTTCCCAGTACTCTTGCCTCCTGGGCACCATCTCCTTCCCTTTTCCGACAAAGCACTGGGGCCCAGAGGGGTTAAGCTACAGGCCCAAGGTCACACCGCCGGTGAGTTCCTTCACTTGGATTTGAACCCAGGTCTGCCTGCTCCTCCTTGCTCAACGGAGGAAGCAAAGCAGGAGGAGAAGGCAGAGGAAGGAGACAACTGAGAACAAAAGAAGAGCAGGGGCAAAGGAGTAAGCTCCACGAGTAATTTTTCAACTTAAAAACAATTCCCATTTCCCAGCCCTGCGGAGGCAGGCGCGGCGGATCTGAGACGCGGCTGGCCCACTGACTCGCCGGAGCCTGCCGAGGGGCCCGGTGAGCTGCTTCAAAGCAGGCCTGCTCAGCACAGGCGCTTTTAAACTTCACACGGGAAACTTTCCAGGGCTGCCTTTTTGCACTTTGTTTCCAAATCAAGAGATGGGGAAGTCCCTGCCGGCCCAGCAGGGCGGAGAGCTGCCCGAGAGCCCTGCCCTGGGCTTCCCCCACCCCACCCCCACCCCAGTGAGACAGTGGGAGGACAGGGCCCCTGCTGGAAAGGGGTCCCGGCAAAAGGGAACTCAGGCCATGGGCGTGGCAGCCGGTCTCTCACCCCCACCCGACACCCCCGACCCCCACACCCTCCTCCAGGAATGAGGCTTCCTTTTACCGGGGTTTCCTGTGGTCCCCGCTGGTGAAGTGCCACCACCTCCCAAGCATTAGCTGTGCTCTGGAACCCCACCGTCTGTTGTCCTCTGATCACCGGTCCGCAAGGCAGCGAGGGTCTGCCTGTAACCGGGAGCTCCCTCTGATTTTTGGAATTCAGATTTGGATTTTGGATGAACATCAAGAGGCCGGCTCCATGCATTTTAATTAAGCTGTCTTTTTTCATTTATTACTAATACACTCCTCTTAACTATGATTTATTTGTTAAACAAAGCACCATAAGCCGTCTCTTATTCATCTTAATTTCAACAAAATTAAAGTAGTCGCTGTTAGATTGCACCTAATTGCACTTGCAATGAAAAGAACGGAGATGTTAATCAAAATAAATTGAAGATAAACAATAAAATCATTACGTCTTTGCAGCGCTAAGTGTCACTAATCAGTTTGGACTTGAAGCGACCGAACAGGAATAATGAATGTGTCACCGAAGGCGTGCTCATTAAGAGAAGCCACCGAGACCTGGTCCTCAGGGCAGCAGACGGCCACCCTGCCCATGTGGCCCTGGGGGTCCTTCCCTGGGCTGGGCAGAAGGCCCTCTTGGAGCAAAGGGAGGCTCGGAACCGGCCGGTGTCAGGAAGGCAGCCCCACTTCCAAGGGGTTCTCCCGTATGGTGAGAAACCATGAGGCTCCAGGCTCATTTCT